ATTTAGAAGTCTTACGGACCGCATTTAGAAGTCTTACGGACCATATTTATAAGTCTTACGGACCACATTTATAAGTCTTACGGACCACATTTAGAAGTCTTACGGACCGCATTTAGAAGTCTTACGGACCATATTTATAAGTCTTACGGACCACATTTATAAGTCTTACGGACCACATTTAGAAGTCTTACGGACCGCATTTAGAAGTCTTACGGACCATATTTATAAGTCTTACGGACCACATTTATAAGTCTTACGGACCACATTTAGAAGTCTTACGGACCGCATTTAGAAGTCTTACGGACCATATTTATAAGTCTTACGGACCACATTTATAAGTCTTACGGACCACATTTAGAAGTCTTACGGACCGCATTTAGAAGTCTTACGGACCATATTTATAAGTCTTACGGACCACATTTATAAGTCTTACGGACCACATTTAGAAGTCTTACGGACCGCATTTAGAAGTCTTACGGACCATATTTATAAGTCTTACGGACCACATTTATAAGTCTTACGGACCACATTTAGAAGTCTTACGGACCGCATTTAGAAGTCTTACGGACCATATTTATAAGTCTTACGGACCACATTTATAAGTCTTACGGACCACATTTAGAAGTCTTACGGACCGCATTTAGAAGTCTTACGGACCATATTTATAAGTCTTACGGACCACATTTATAAGTCTTACGGACCACATTTAGAAGTTTTACGGACCGCATTTAGAAGTCTTACGGACCATATTTAAAAGTCTTACGGACCATATTTAAAAGTCTTACGGACCATATTTATAAGTCTTACGGACCACATTTAGAAGTTTTACGGACCACATTTAGAAGTCTTACGGACCGCATTTAGAAGTCTTACGGACCATATTTAAAAGTCTTACGGACCACATTTAGAAGTCTTACGGACCGCATTTAGAAGTCTTACGGACCACATTTAGAAGTCTTACCGGCCGCATTTATAAGTCTTACGGACCGCATTTAGAAGTCATACGGGCGAGGTTTAACGTTTCCGGGAAATGTTTTCAAGTATTACGGGGATATTTCTAAGTATTGCGAACAGTCAGTACAGTAGCCGATTTACACACGAAGCATGATGTTTTATATGCGTGTATTCAAGCCTTGCAAGAATGCAGATAAGATGTACGCGCGAGAGAAGTTTTACGTATATAATCCTAAAGTAATTTTGTCCAGTATGGCGTTCCATACCAAGGTGTTAATATAAAGAACAAAAACAATGTATATAATTAAATTTTATTAAATAAAATGTGGAATATTTTACAAATTGCATTACCATCCCAAAGTGTACATAATTTATCAATATAATTAGGACTTAGAAGCTGTTCACATGAGTTTGACTCTGACCCAGCACCCTTGGCTTAGCTCCCCTTGCCCGATCACAAGTAGAAAACCTCCAACCCACTCTGACAAATCAGTCCAGATCTGCCCAAGAGGCAGGATTTTCTGGAATATTATTAGCAGTGAAATTGTTGCATATTTTCAAGCATGCATTGTAACCTGATTTTAAAGCCTGTTTGAACATCAGACATTGTGGCAATGGCAAGATGGTCCAGCCATATGAATACAATCTTAAAATATCATAAAACAAACAATGCAATTTAAGGCCAGACAGCCCAACTCCGGCGAACAGCCCTTTATTACACATTTGAAGCATCTCTTGAGGCATCAAAGTACTGTACATGCAGGCACATGGAATTACATATGAGTATGTGACATAAGCCCACCATTGCACAACTTTGTCTGCAACAATGCAAATACAACAAATGCAAATACAATCAAGCTGGAAACGGATTTTATCAGTATTTTGATATATACATTATGGCTCATGTCTAAAGACACCTGCACTTTCATATTGAAATTGTTCTAATATCATCCAAACAAAACACATCAGAAAACTGTAACATCAGCCAAATGAGCAAATCACTTTTTTAACACAATTTATGGTAAAATGAAGCAATATGTAATAGTATCTGAAACAAAACCAAATCACATATTATTCAAAAGTTGCAAACACTGTTGCATATATGATATAACAAAATATCTTCGCATTTCTAGTGGTAAGTGGTAACTAACTATAAATTAGGCCAATTTAAACTCGACTATGAAGAATATCAAAAACTAAAGGTCATGTTTCAATTTATAAACCCAGACTTTAGTTTTATAAATATAAACATTATAAACGCTATACGAAGCCAAATATGAAGGCACATTTTGCCCTAAATACTCGGTCAGAGCCTCGGAGGTGTGTTCTAGTACATAATTAATCTTCTCTCACAGTTTAAAACAAACAATAATACTAACCTTCGACAAATTGTGTATAAATCTTATCGAATTTAACCATTTTGCCACAGATTTTGCCAAAAATATTTCTTAGACGGACAAATGGACACTCCTTGCATGAAATGTTCATTTATCCCAAAGTTTGAATAAATTAATCCAAGATTGCATTATTTGCATAATAATGTAGTTGTCATTGACCAATCAGAATACATAAAAGACCGGCCGGTGCCAGGGCCTTTTCCCGCGTTCCCAATGACAAAAAGGGAAAAGCCCTGGGAACGAGGTTGTACGAGCTTGCTTCAGAACGACTGGGACTAGGCTGGAGAATTCCTAAGCAACAATGTCATTTACCAAGCCACTGTGAAAACCGACGATACAAAGGAAACATACATCGGCCTTACTGGGGATCGGTTCACAACACGATTTAACAATCACACGTGTTCATTCCGTGACAACAACGAGAGAAACTCCACAGAGTTAAGCAAGCACATTTGGTCCCTAAAAGACAATAACATTAGATACGCTGTAGACGGGAAAATAATGGCCCGTGCAAATCCGTATTCAAATATTGAGAAAAAATGTAATTTATGTATAATGGAAAAATATTTCGTCATTTGTAAACCGAAAACTTGTACTCTAAACAAAAGAAACGGACTGGCTAGTGCATGCCGGCATGCAAACAAATTTTTAATTAAAAACGGTTAGACTTTATGACACTATGAACGATCGGTATATAAATGGGATATTTTAGTGTAATCTGATCATGCACCTGAAGAGAGAGGATCTAGAAAGGGCCTCTCGAAACAGAACTGTAGTGCTTTTCAATTTTTAATGAACATTCTTAGGTTTTAATCTTTAATCTTTAATTTTAACTTAGCTTTACTTTGGTGTAGAGTTCTCGGGTCATCGGCGTTGAAAGCACTGTCCGTTAGTTCTTTATAGTGCTTGCGTAGTAATGTTTTGAATGATCCTATAGACTTAGTTGTGTCTCTAATATAACGAGGAAGAGTGTTCCACACGCTCGCGGCTCTTATATAAAGACTGTTCTGGTAGTTGACAGTTCTGCACTTTCCCACATTTAGGAAAGTCCATTACTTGCTCTTCTTGTTTCTCATGTTGAAACTTTGACCGAGATATTACTGTCAGAGTCATTTATGAGACTTTTAAAGACATAAATGATGTCTAAATATTCATACCAGTAACATAGAGGGATGATGCCAAGGATCTGCAATTTTTCTTTATACGAGATGTCTGTTTGGTATGGCAGAGATAGGGTGAACTTGGTGGCACGGCGCTGAACACGTTCGATGGTTAGAATTTTGCTGACTGTCTGGGGTGCCCACACTTGACAACCGTACGCCAGATGACTGCGAACAAAGTCAGGTACTTACGGACTGATTGGTTACCAATCATGTATGTTGTTCGCTTCAAGAAACCCAGCATCTTGTTGGCTTTCGGCGAAATCTGCTGGACTTGCTTGTTCCATTTGAGGTCACCAGTTATAGATATGCCAAGATCTTTCTGACTGTTAGGTCGGATAACTGGGGTACCAAGCACCGTATATTGTGTGATGGTTGGTTCACGAGATCTTGTAAGATGTAGCACTCCACACTTACTTTGATTTAACTCCATTTTCCAGTCGTGACACCAGTTGGTAATGTTGTCCAGGTCATATTGAAGGGTTACCTTATCTTGGGAATTTTTAATAGGATGGTGGCATTTGGTATCGTCAGCAAACATTGCCACGGTAGTATCATGTGAGACACATTTCGGAAGATCATTGATGTAAATTATGAATAGAAGTGGCCGAAGAATTGATCCCTGGGGAACACCTGATAAAACTGGAAGTGGTTTTGATGTAACACCAAGCGCAATGACTATCTAGAATCGCCCAGAAAGGAAGTCTCTGAACTAACGAAGAAGATTTTCTCTTATACCGAAGTTGTGAAGCTTTATACTTTATCAAAAACTTTGGCAAAGTCCAGGTAGACAATGTCAACTTGGTTTTTTTGGAGAATCTGTAGCAGCTGCGATGTCGTAGATCTGCCCCTGAGAAAACCGTACTGCAGTTCGTAAATTTGACCGTATACGTGTTCTGTAAGTCTATTATATATACAGCGTTCAAACACTTTCGAAACTAATGACTAACAGTGATATTGGTCTGTAGTTGGTTACGTCATGAATAAGGTTTTTTTTTGGAATTGGACTGATGTTGGCCAGCTTCCATTCGGACGGCAGAAGTCCATAAGATAAAGCAATTAAAATAATAATAATTGTAATTTAAATGCATTTTTCTCTTTTCAAGTGAATCATTGAGAAAAGTATTATGAGCCTTCATGTTAAAAGTAAATTTTTAATAAAATAAAACCACAAGATGTTCTGCATGATAACAATGATATTATTAAAATATTGAACAAAATTTCGTTGGAGAAATGTTAAACTCAACTACATCTTTTATTCCTCTTTGAATCACTTATAGGGCAATGGTACAGCAGTTGATGCGGTGGAAAAAGCTATTTTTAGTTTGGAGGAAAATGGGATTTTTAACGCAGGCCGTGGATCATTTAAAACTGATAAAGGGGATGTGGAATGTGATGCAATGATTATGGATGGGCACAAACTGGACGCAGGTAGTTTAATTTCATGTGGGAATTTCATTATGATTTTTCATTTTTTCAACACCAGGCATTTTGGAACGCATATATAGTAACGCGAAAATATGTAGTTTTCCATAGCAAATAAAAAAGACTATATACACTGTTCAGAATCATGGAGTTGTCCAAATCTATAGAGCATAATATTATATGGTTCCATTCTCCTTGAAAGTCACTAGACTTCAATATAATATGTACCAGATTGCTTTGATGGACAGAAAACAATAGAGAACGCAAGAGAGCGACGTTTAACAGCGAAGACGCGGATTTAGACACCTACTGGAAAAACAAGAGGGATGTATTTTTCGACCAATCAGCACACTTTTTACATTTTTGTTCTAAGGCAATCAGAAAAATTCAGAAAATCGTCGTTCAAATCAGACGAAACAAACAAAACTTTGTTGGAAAACCTCCTCTATCTAGAATTAAATATGATATACACCTCGAAAGTCGGGAAGAGAAAATCCCTCGTTCTCGGAGTTCATCCTATACTTAATATATTATTTAAAACAAGTTATTTGTCGAAAATTTTGAAAAGAAGCTGCAGCCTATATGAAAAAGAAAAAGTTAGAGTACAGTTATTGTATAAATTAGACAGGATTTAGTTTAAAGTTTGAAAATAAAGATATGTATAAATCTGTCATAAATAAATTTTATAGACAGAAATCAGACCACTAGTTTTTTCCTTCGGTGAAAATTAATAATTTTTTTTTTTATTATATTAAAATTAATCATATATTTTTATTATATTAACATTAAATGGTCTCGCACCTCAACGAGTGGGTTCGCGAGACTTCAGCAGTTCCATGGCGTCCATTTAATTAGAATGTGAAACTGCTATTCTTGTTTTTCATTTAACTTATCTCAAAGCTTCAAGATTACCTTACCAGTCCAGCTGAGACTCTAATACGATTATCCTACACTTTTCCAATATCGTCCAATTCCTTTATTCCAACTTTTATTTTATCCTTGGGGGTACACAAGGCAGGGGGCCCTTGTAGTCCGGATACACTGTTGGCGTCATCCTTTTTACCCTGTGTGGTCACCTCAACCTTAATATCATTGGATACAGAGAAATTTATATCACCAACCTTCCCATTTTTATTAGACCTCCTACGACAGCCACAGATATTACCCAAACAGGAGAAGCATGAGCGCCACTTTGACATGATACTTTATGATACAACACATGTTATCCACCTGACCCTGAATACCGCAATGACCAGCAAAAAGACAAGTCCATACTCGTACCAGTTGGCATTGAGTGTTCCGGTTTAACTATAATACACCAGGCTAGCGTGTTATCTACCAACTCTGCCTGGTTTCCTAAATAGAACATACTATTACCCTTGAAGACATAGCAAGCTGTACTTCCACCATTACTTGTGTAAGTTCCGTTGAAGTAAGTGTATGATAGCCTTCTTAAGTCGATTGTGCTGAGGACGATTTCCTTTTTGACTTGTGTAAATTTTCCGTTAGACTGCTTTTCCCATACAGTAGCCCACAGGATGAGTCCTAGGGGTATGTTAGTAACAGTTGAAAGAAGTGGGTAATCTGATTTAACAGTAATTGACTCAAGGTTGAGGTCTGTCATATTATTAATAGTATCTGTTCTCCATGAAGGTGGTATATGATCTTGACAGTAAGCATAGTACCTTGTTGCTGCAACTGATACGCCACGATATCCCCAGATCCACTCTGAGTAGATATGGTGATTTTTCCTTACATATCTAACATCAGCTGTTGCTTGGACAAGGCCCGAGGAAGATTTTAGAAAATTATTTTCCACCCATTGCTTGTTAACTGCATCCTTATCATTTACCGGATCCTTTAGATCAAGAATACCACTTGAATCTCCCATATCCAAATCACCCTTTACCAGTCCACCTCTACTACTCATGAACTCATCAGTTGCCCATTTCTTATTAACAGCAGAACCGTCCGTAGTAGGATTACCTACCCTAGTTAGCTCATAATCGTTAACGTCGAGATTGCTCGCTAGAGTGCCGCCGTCACGCTTTAGAAACTGTAAACCCCAGGAGTCTATAGTATTATAGGAAACTGCAGCTGTGTCTCCTGTGGTACCTCCTCGGAGACCAGTAATACTATAACCCCCCATGTCAATATTACCTGTCATCGTGAAGCCGCTACTACTGATTGAACTTCCACTTACATGATCAGTGACCCATTTCTTTGAAACAGCAGAATTATCAGTTGTGGGAGCACCCAGTTTTACTATTTCATTATTACCCATATCAAGGTTGTCAGATAGGGTAATACCACTATAAGTTTCACGCTTACTTCTAGTTTCCCTAATTCTACTTTCTACCCACCTTTTGTTAGCAGCCGATGTGTCCGTTGTGGGGTCTCTAAGGTATAGAATTTGGTTTCCACCCATTTTAAGGTTCCCAGTCATTGGACGAACACCATCGGTAGTCAGCATTGTGTTCGTATCGTTTTCGAGGTACCGAAGGTTTATTAGGCTGTCAGAGCCTGTAGGATCCACAGGGCAGTTAGGTGTTTAGTTGAATTTAATAGTACCGCTGACAGACTTAGTTCCAGTTCCATCAAGTCTTAGGAAAGTGTTACCGCTAGATTCGAACCAAGCCTTTGTAACAGCAGACTGATCACTAGTGGGATCCTTAACATTTTCTATTTCATTTCCACCCATTTTAAGATTACCAGTCATTTTTGACCCGGTTAGCTTCAGGAACGTAGATTCGGACCACTTTTTTGATACAGCTTCACTATCAATTTTGGGGTCAGTAATATCAAACAATCTCCAACCTCCCATGGATACATCTGCCTGCATTATTCCACCTTTTTTAACAAAGTTATAATCAACCGCCCACTTTTCTGTTACAGCGGACTGATCTTCGGAGGGATCCTTAAGATTTTTAAATTCATGGTCCTTCATATCAATATCACCAGCAATATCAAGTCCAGATACAGGTTTATTTAACATTCCAACTACCCAGTCCTTATTAACAGCAGACTTTCCGGTTGTAGGATTACCCAAAGCCTTTATCTCATTTGTTGACATATTGAGGTCATTCGTAAGGATAAGACCAGGTAGGCTTACATGTATATGCCTACGGCTACCTTCAACCCAACTCTTACTGGCGGCGTCATGATCACCTGGGTTAGTAGGATTATCAAGATTAGTTATCTTATTACCTCCCATGTCAATATCCCCAGTCATTGTAAACCCTGCCGGTTGAATTGTAACAGCAGCCTGTTTAATGATCTCATCATCCACCCACTTTTTTGTGACCGCAGGCGTATCATCTGTAGGTGCACCTAAACCTTTCACCTCATTACCGTCCATCTCAATGTCACCCTTCATGGTAAATCCATCCTTATCAAACACACTACCACTTGATGGGTCAACTTTATTTACTCCTTTGTTGTATCCTCTATAGAGAGCCATTTTTATAACATACACAAACTTTCACAGAACAGTTCTCAATATAAGAAACACGGCAACAGACCCAATACCAAGTCCAGCTAAAGCGCCGTCACCTAGGGACTCACGTGTACTGACCACCTTACGCTGTGCGATAGGAACAACCTGAGGTGCAACACTTACAGAACTCCCCGGAACTTTCACGTTTCCACTAAGAGTATCAAGGTGGTGAACTGGTGTGCTATTTTGATGCTGTTTCTTTGGAGGATCAACATGCTTAACACCAACATAATTTACCTTAGGATTAAACCCAAATTTCATTGCATTAGTTGCCGTCTTTAGAAGGTTATTATAACCGAGTATCGGAGTTTTCAGAATAATAAAGCTAGACGGGATTAAAACTATTCCAGGGGATAAAGCAGTGTTCAGGATTACATTGGTGTCCCTCACAGCTCATATTACTAATTGTTGTTACCGTATTACTTTGTAAAATAGTAGACTTTACAATAGTTCTAAAGTTACGTTGCGTTTGAAGAGCCTTCGGACCGCTTCCTTCTATTGACCACCTTGTATTAGCTTGATATCCCAGCATAGCATAAACATAGGACTCAATACTCTCCTGAATAAGCTCAACGCCTAACTTAGTAAAGCCATTACTTTTTTTCAACTATGAATGAAAGGTAATCGCTACCAGACAAAGGTCCTGCACTAGTTGTAGCACCACTTCCGTCAATAATATAATTCTGATTTATTGGAATGTGTTTTTTTACAATGTCAAGGTTGACACCAAGTCTATCAATAGCATCCTTACTAACTGTTAGCTTTCTAGTTGTGTAGTAAAGATGATACCTCATAATGGATGTTATTATTTTAGGAACGGAATTACTTTCACGAACGTGTTCTAAGGATACACCGCTGAGATAGCTAGCTATATAAGCGCCAGACAACATTCTAGTGTATGGTATCGTATTAAAGGAAACTTTTCTTACATCCTTATTAGTTAAATTAGGACCTTCATCCCAACCTACACCAGCATCAGGGAAGTTAGGCATGAAATAACTGTTTTCATTTACATAGATCTTAAAGTTGTTAAAGTTGTAGGGAAGACTTACAGGAGGTCGATACGTGTTAATATGATAGTCGTCATCATGAACCAGAACCCTACTGAGACCCAACTTTCTCTCATCGTAAATAGGATTCTTTGGAAAGACAAGAGGTTCATATTTTTGAACGGTGCCATTACTATTCCAAAGATGTGGCCATCCTTTTGGTTTTAGAGGAGGTGCCACCACCTTGGGTTTCATTGATGTGAGGTATGATGTCTATTCGCTATCCCCCTTAAATCCATCGTATCTTATGTCATAAGACGTAATTCCATCTAAATCCACAAACCATGTAACAACACCAATATCACCACTACTTGTAGTCATAGCTTCAAATTTAAATCTTCTCATATCTGCAAAAGGATAACTTGACATAAATCTAGCCCTCTCATCATTCTCTGCATTTTTACCAGCAACAGGATCAACATGATCTTCATCGTCTTCCTTTCCATACTTTTTTTCATATTCTTGGTACGACCGATACGGCGACTTGCCAACTTGTCCTCCACCTAGTCTCATTCTTAATAACCTAACGTATGTTATTAAGATGAAGTTCACAATTTTACTCCAGAGTTCGCATACAGTTGTATC